GAAAAAAATGGCAATTTTTGAGTGCCAACTCAGAAGGCGTGTATTACCTTGTAAAGAAAAAAAAAGTACAAAGCAGGGGTTTAGAGTTATTTATATAAATGTTGAGCTTTTGCACTATTTTTTAATATAAATATGTCAGTGCTTGTTTGATGGAAACTTCTATCATGTCTGTCGAGATTTTTAAGGGAGAAATGTCGAAATTTCACAGTCGACGTCAGGCAGAGGGCGGGCTCTTACACGAATTTTGGAGAGGCTTCTGGAGGGGGGCCGCTTTCCTGCGAAGTGGAAGCTTCTGGCTAGCGATAGGTTATTACCTCGTTATACATTCCCCACCGAAGGAGACGCGTGTCCCACGTGTCGTCCCGCTCCACCCACACACCCCCCCCCCCCCCCCCGCCTCGCAGCCAGAACAGCCTTCGGATGGCAAATGAAATAGGGAAGTTACTCTAGGCACCAAATTTCAGGTGGTGACTTTGCCTTTCCGGAGATGAAAATAAACAGTGAAGAATCTTAGTTTTTCCTCCTCTTTTTTTAAGCATGAGGCCCCCCCCCCGCCCCCCCCCCCCCCCCCGCGCATGTTGCCGGCCCCACCCCCGCCCGCCCCCCAGAGGGGCTTGGGTGGCTGTTGTGTGCGGAGTGCTCCGGGGCGATCCAGCTGCTCCAGGATTTATCAGCTGAGGTCGGTGGAGTCCGCCGGCAGATCAGAAAGGCCCGAAGTATTAAGAATTTGACCTCATCCCTGTCTTTTCTCTTTACGTAGCAATTCTCACCCAACAGGCCAACGAATAGAACACCAGAGGTGAACAAGCGACATGCCTAGATTTCTCCTGGGATATGCAAAAGGGTTAACACAAGAGAAACAGTCAAACCTGTGCTGTTTTCAAAGCAGAATTCTTTACCTTCTGCTCTCCTGCATTTTCATCCCCTCTCCCCGTGGAAACAATCATGTTGGATGTGTTTATTTATCTGTGTTTTCATAGCCTCCTTAGCAGATATACAGCTCGTTTACCAGGATTTTACTGAGTAGATTTAGGTGTGGTGGGACCCCTTGGTGACAGTGTGCGGGTGAGGGCATGTGAGTGGACACGGTGGCGACAGGACAGTGGAGTGGGGGTCCCTTGGGATCTACCAGGGACAGTGGCTGGAGCTGCGGGCCCTTCCTCCCACTGAGGACATGTTCACATTCCATGGGGTGACCCCCCCCCAAATGGAAGAGCAACCCCCCCAACCCCCTCTGCACGGAGCTCTTTTCATTTTGGCAGACTGCTAACTAGCGGACTAACATCAGAGGAGGCCTAAGGGCAATAACTTGTTTTTAAGCAACTTTTTTATGACTTAAACAAAAACCTGAGAACCGTTTTTGAAGTTCTGACCCTTTGAACTCTATTTATATATACATTTTCAGAAACATGGTGACCAACAGATAAACATGGAGTCTGAGCATCTGCTGACCAGCCTGGCAGAAAGTTCTTACACGTTGACAATAAAACCTGCCTCTCCGTGGGGGTCTTCAGCCTAAACTTGGCTTCTCAAAGAGGAGTCTTTTCAGAAGTCGTGCAGAGAAATCGGTATAATTTGTCCTAAAAGGTACAGGGACACATTTATAGATAAAATTTTTTAAAAACTGTATCTTTCCTTTATGTGAAGAGTCTCCCTAGTGCCTTACTGAGGAAGCAGGGTTCTCTTGTCACCAGTTGGGGGCATCCCCGGGCAGTGACACGATCACCCGGGGATTGGCCTTCCCACTCGAGGTCAACAAAGGGTTGCTGCTGCTTCTCAAACATCCCCGTCGCCCTCTCCTGTCCCGCCCCGCCCGCCCTCCACCTTGGATGTGCCTGGCTCCGTCGGGCGACATTCCTGCCCCTCCACCCTCTTGTCCAATACTGTGTGTGACTCCCATGGGAGTTGTCAGCCTAGAAGTGGCCCTCGGTTGTGTGGGCAGCGTTTCCGAGGTCCTCTTGAGCCAAACTGTTTGACTCTTGTCGCTTGGTGGTGCGGTGGGCGTTTGCGGTGTTTGGAAGGAGGCAGGGGAGTGGATTCCTGACCTCAGCTGGCTTGAGGACGGAGCACGCCCCTCCGATTGCACCCCAGGAATGCAGTCCAGGGCTGGATGCTGCAGAACCCCTGGGCTTCATGCCCCGCAGATGCCAGTCACAGGTTCATGGCAGAGCAGCTAGTCAAAAGTCGGGGTGCATCCCGAGAAAATTGGTGGGGTGTGTTTCTGGAAACGACTGTTGGAGCTAAGCTCTCGGTTTCTCTGCTGGACCCCAGAGCTGGGGGTGCACTCAGTCCTCTAGATGTTGGCTGTCTGGCCATTATCTTTGAAAAGGCTTTGAGCACCCCTGAGGAGACCTCCTTTTGCCAGTAAAAAGCTTGGGGTCCTAGGCAGTGGCTGGTTGGAGGGGGCCAGGTTGGGCTTCCTCGACTCCCCATCGTTTCCCTGCTTGTCAATCACGATTCCTCCCCCACAAAGGCCCGGTCTCCGCAGACCGACTTAGCAAGGAGCCCTGAGAGCCATCCCTGTCCCCCCACCCCAACCCCCGGAAGCCCAGTGTTTGCAAAGAGCAAAAACTCCCCCCACTCCCACCCCCAACGTCTAGCAAACACCAGGGCAGGGCAAGAACTGAGTCCGTTCCCTGTCCTTGTCTCTGTGAATTGTATGTTTCAGAAATTGCTTTCTAAATGCACACAAAGCTTCCAGATCCATAAAACATCCCAGTGGTAAGGAAAAATAAGTGTTTTGTTTTGTTTTGTTTTGTTTTGTGTTTGTTTTTTTCTGGAAACTGCGCTTCAAATCTTGCTGTACTATAGAGCCCAGAAGGACACGCGTTCTCGTTTGCCTGCCTGATTCCATGGTGGTGTGCTGATGGCACGCTTTTACGTTGCGTTGTTGGCGTTGGAACCGCTCTCCTTTGCAGCCCTGTTTCCCAAGTTCTGTTCAAGTTAAACTCATGTAAATTCTCCGTGGCACGCTGGGTGCTGCGCCCACGTTGCTGCTGCGTTAAGACTCTGTATTTGGATGCCAATCCACAGGCCTGATGAAATCGCTTGTTGTGTATCAATAATCATTAGTGGCAATGATGACGTTCTGAAAAGCTGCAATACTTATACAATAAATTTTACAATTCTTTGGAATGAGGCTTTTTTACTTCTTTGGCCACACTGACTTGCCCTGTCCCCCACCGCTCTCAGCAACAGTCCCAGGGCCCATTTAGCGGGGTGGGAAAGAGCCTGAGGAGCTGCTGGAGGGCCTGAGCAATTCCTTAGACCTTTGTTCTAGTTCAGGCCGCATCCGGGGAGCCCAGTGAAAACACTAGCTCAGGCAGGTGGTTCTAATAAAAGGGGTTAAAATCAACCCACCCCTTTTATTAATTGGGGTTAAAAGATCTTGCAGGACATTACCTATTTTTCCTCCCTCTTGAAAAAATCATTCTCTGTAACATGCCAAAAGCTCTGATAAGGTCTGCAAGAAAGCAACTGCCTAGGGTGGGTCGCGTCCAGAAGTAAACACTGAGGCATGACTTTGTAAAAGGGGATGCATTAAGGGTGCGCCGTGCTCCCAGGGGAGACAGTTACGGGAATTGGGAAGAGAACAAAGGAGGAAAAACGAAGCAAGGTAGGGGCGATCTTAGGCAAAGTCCCCGCCTCAGCCTGCTCCCAAAGACCCCAAAGGGACCCGTGGGGAGCTCTGGGGTGTAAGGTGCTTCTGGGTGAGAAGTAGACTCGCAGATGCTCCTGGCTCATCGTGTGTCAAAGTGCAGCAGTGGGGAGTTTCACAAGCCCCAGGGTGGTCCTCAGAGGATGTTCCCAGGCACTGGCCATTAGCAACGCCCATGGAAGCCGGGGAAGGGGGGACAGGAACCTGGAAGGGATCCCAGGGGCTCTGAGTGGGCTACCCGCAGTGCCCGCAACAGAAACGCGCATTTATTCCTCCAATTAGAACCATCTTGGACATCGAGTCAAGGTTTTTAAAAAATCAGCCCAAACAGTTGATTTCCCAGGGATGACCATTGTTTGTCCTCACCCCCACGGTTCCGTAAGCTTCTGGAGTACAGAGTCCTGCAGTCAGGGCAGAACTTGAGGCACACATCTGTCTTACTTGTTCCCTCTCTCTGGTGACGGAAAACCTCAGAAAGAAAGAAAGAGAAAGAAAAAGGAAGGAAGGAAGGAAGGAAGGAAGGAAGGAAGGAAGGAAGGAAG